CTGCTGCCTCCTGCTCAGGCCCCCACAGCACTGGATTTCCCAGGAAAGTGAATTCCTCTGATCCTGCCCCACCCCCAAGATCCTGCCCCACCCCCGAGCTGCCAGCAACACCTTTCTGAGTAGCTGACCAGGGCTTCCGGGTCAGCAGGGATTTCCCTAAATGGCTAAGATGGAAATTAACTCCGTGACCTCACGCCTGGTGCTGTGCCAAGTGGTCCAGAGTCCTAGGTTGCTGATCTCCAGATGACACTGGAACAGATGCAGAGTGTGGCTGGGGCCCCTTCCTGGGTGTGGCCCGGGAGCTGCCATTGGTGGTACAAGGTCGGTGTTTCAGGTGGAGGAGTCTGGCGAGCACGTGATCCTGGGCACCGGGGAGCTCTACCTGGACTGTGTGATGCATGACTTGCGGAAGATGTATTCGGAGATCGACATCAAGGTAGAGCAGTGCGCCCGTGGCTGTCACGGTGACTGGGGCCGAGGGCGCTCTAGTGCCAGTGGCGCATTGGCATTCCCTCTGGGGGGCCTGAGACTTGGCCCCAATGAGTCCTCGTGTTCCCCAGGTGGCTGACCCGGTTGTCACGTTCTGTGAGACAGTGGTGGAAACATCCTCCCTCAAGTGCTTTGCTGAAACTCCCAATAAGAAGTAAGCTGGGTAGTTACTGTCCCTGGAAGTGACAGGCTGGTGGGATACTACTCTCCCCGCTCTGCCACCCCCAGCCCCACACTGGGAACAGAGGCGAAGATCAGAGCTGAGTCTGGGGCGGGAGCAGGGGGTGCTTAGGAAACGCTTATCTCTGTGCCTGTGGACAAGGTGGAATGCTCTCTTTTTTTTTTTTTGCCTTGGGTGCTCCCAAGAGGAAGTCTTAAATACTTGTTTAAAATAAGACCATCTTATACTTTTGTTCCAAACTTACTTTTTTTAAGTGAAAGGAGACTGAGCTGAGCTCTTTGTGCCCCGCCTGGCCCCCAGGGCTCTCCGGAAGCCTCAGCTGCCCTCTCTGTCCCTGTTTCTCAGCAGTGCCCTGGTGCCAACCCTCCTCCTGACATTTCCTTCCTGACCAGGAACAAGATCACCATGATTGCCGAGCCCCTGGAGAAGGGCCTGGCCGAGGACATAGAGAACGAGGTGGTCCAGATCACGTGGAACAGGTGAGAGAGCGGCTCTGGCCTGTTGGACCTCTGGTTCCACACCTCCTTCTGGGAAGGACTTTTGTCTTCCCTTACGTGTCCTGGCCACAGGGTAGGTGGGCCAAGGGGGTTGTCCTCCAGAGGAAGGGCCAGGACTCAGGAGCCAGCAGCCTCAGAACCATCCCTCTCTCCTCCTTCCTCCAGAAAGAAACTAGGCGAATTCTTCCAGACCAAGTATGATTGGGATCTGCTGGCTGCCCGTTCCATCTGGGCCTTTGGGCCAGACGCCACTGGTCCCAACATCCTGGTGGATGACACTCTGCCCTCGGAGGTACAGCAGAACTGATGGCAACCCCGTGGTCGCTTCTTACCCCAGAGGGGGGAAAACTACCAAGGGCCCCCTGTCCCCGGGAAGCCTTCTGTCTCCTCCTGAAGGACACACCCCCTCTTTCGGGCTCACCCACTTTCTCTCCCCTCCCAACACTGGGGCTGCTGCCCAGACTGCTGCTAAGGGGCCTGGGTGTTTCTGTGCAGGTGGATAAGGCTCTCCTCGGCTCCGTGAAGGACAGCATCGTTCAAGGGTTTCAGTGGGGCACCAGGGAGGGGCCCCTCTGTGATGAGTGTAAGTTTGCGGATGGTCCCCCCACCCCAGCCTGTCCACTAGGTGGGGTTTCTTGCTGGGCATGTGAGGTGGGATGGGCTCATCTCATCCGTTGTTGGGCACAGGAGGAGAAACAGCTTGAGGTACACAGGCCCAGCCGGGTGGTGGGCCAGCTTCCGCCTAGCTCCTCCTCCATCTCTCCCTCCCTCCCCCTGCTGTCTGTCTCCACTTGGAAATGGAGGCGTAGCCAGAGTGGCACCTGTTCCTCGTTCCTGAGAAGGATCCAGCTCTGGGTGTTGAACAAGAAGTGTCAGGAGGTGGCTGGGGTGGTTGGAGATGGGGAGGGTTCCTGCTGGTTCCGTAGGTAAGCACTGAGCCACCCACCAAAGGGTCAGCAGGTGGACTGCAGCAAAACGCCCGGGCAGCCTGCTCCCATGGAGATGACAGCCTGGGCCCTGTCGGCGCCCAACCACACGTCACTAGCCGAGGTTGGGCTTGGTGGGATCGAGTGCAGTGGGCACTGAGGGGAAGCACAGGACTCGGGAAGCTGTGTGACCCCTGGGCCCCACTTGAACCAAACCTGCCTGGATGTAGCATCAGGCCCGCCCCAGCGAGTAGCTTGCCCGCCTCCCATGGGGGTTTGTGGGCATGTCTCTCAGGGCTGCCAGCTGGCTGTGGCACAACCCAAGACTGCTGCTTTGCTTCAGCCCTCGGTCAGCACCAGACCACTCCTCAGGCACTGCTCTCCCCCTCTCCCCCTCAGTGATTCGAAACGTCAAGTTTAAGATCCTGGATGCAGTGGTGGCCCAGGAGCCCCTGCACCGGGGCGGGGGCCAGATCATCCCCACGGCCAGGAGGGTTGTCTATTCAGCTTTCCTCATGGTAAGAGCAGGGTTGTGGGTGGTCTCCTCTCCCCCTCCCCCAGCTGCCCACCTCTCAGCCTCTCCCTTCCCCTGCAGGCCACGCCGCGGCTGATGGAGCCCTACTACTTTGTGGAGGTGCAGGCCCCTGCTGACTGTGTGTCTGCCGTGTACACCGTCCTGGCCAGGCGCAGGCGAGTACCCTCACTTACAGGGGGACTGGGGGGAGAGGGCTACATGCGCACAGCTGTCTGGCGTAGAGCTTGGCCTTCCTCACTCGCTCTGCTCCCCAGATTTACCTTCTCTCTCAGAAGGCAGCATCCCTGTTCAGTAATGGGAGTTAGCCACACTCCCACCCCCGCTCCGAGGGAACCGCAGACACACATCAGTGATGGAATGGTCAAAGAACCTTGTCCTGTCCTCATCACTTGTCTTCTGCCTTGAGATGGTCACTCCTCTGACTTCCACAGCACATCCATGCCGGACCCTAAGGCGTCCCTGCCCCCTGGAGAGCATTCAGGGTGGTGTGTCTTTGAGAGCTCTCTGGTTGACACGTAGTTGGGGATAGGGTCATCCTGTGTTTTTGACCTCTGCCAGCTCAGGGACTCAGCTTGAGTCTGTTTCTCCATCTCAGGGGGCACGTGACCCAGGATGCGCCCATCCCAGGCTCCCCGCTCTACACCATCAAAGCTTTCATCCCAGCCATCGACTCTTTTGGCTTTGAGACCGATCTTCGGACGCACACACAGGGGCAGGCCTTTTCCCTGTCTGTCTTCCACCACTGGCAGGTGAGAAGCGGCCCAGGCGCTCGCTCTGGCCTCCCACCTCTTCGGGGCTGGTTCCACACGAGGCGTGGGCAACAGCTCTGACTCCTTCTCCCTTGAAGGGGATCTGATTCTGGGCCTGACTCCTCGGCTGGTCTGTCTGTTACCTTTCAGATCGTCCCTGGTGATCCTCTGGACAAGAGCATTGTCATCCGCCCCCTGGAGCCACAGCCCGCGCCTCACCTGGCCCGGGAGTTCATGATCAAAACCCGACGCAGGAAGGTACGATAGTATCCCTCAGCCACCAGGGGCTTGACGGGCATTGGAGCTCTTCATTTCTTCCTCTGGACTCTTCTGCCAAGGGCCGGTGGACGGCAAGCAGTTAAGAAAGATCCAGCCTGCAGACTCTTGTGGGGCCCTCTCTGCTGTGAGACCCCCTCAAGGCCCAGCTCCTGCCTGAGCTGAGCCTCCAGCCCACCCGCCAGCATCCCACCCAGCACTGCACTCTGTGGCCCCGGCTTAGTCAGCATGGCAGGGGCCTCATCCTCCATCCGCCCTTTCTCTGCAGGGCCTGAGCGAAGACGTGAGCATCAGCAAGTTCTTCGATGACCCCATGTTGCTGGAGCTTGCCAAGCAAGACGTCGTGCTCAACTACCCCATGTGAGCCCCCTGCAGCTCCTGGACCTGACACAGGACCCCCTGGGTCTGGGACTTGCTGCTGTCAGAGAGCATCTGGGAGCTGCTGCTGTCTTCTTGAACCACCCAAGACCCTCCAGCCTAGGGCCCCAAGGAGGAAGGAGTCAGGCCTCCTGGTTTCTTCCAGGGCCTCCGCCTGGCCCTGTTCCCAGGGAACAGAGAGGCGCTGGGACTCGGGCAGGACTAGGGGTGGATGAAAGAGGGGGGACAAGGGGAGGAACCCCCCAAAAACCCTGTCTTCAGGGTTACCTTGGAGTTTTATTTTTTACAAGTCTGTGAGTGAATAGAACATGCTGACCTCTGCCTCGCTCTGTTCCTTCCACCCCCCTCCCTCCCTTGCGCTGTCTGGGGTGGCCCTGGCGCTGGATCGGCAGTGTGATCTCCCAGCAGGCGGCCTTCGGCCCTGTCTTTCCTCCCAGCTGCTAGCTCCTTCCTGCCTGGGCCCCAGGGAAGCTGCCTGCAGTGGGAAGGCTACCGCCTCAGAAGTTTGTCCCCTTGAGTGTGGAGGCCTCTCTACTGCCCTGTGCCCGGTACCCTGTCCTCTCTGTGCTGTCCTTCTGGGTCAGACCTGCGGTGGCTTGACCATCATTAGGTTTCTGGGATCAGAGGTCTGTTAGGGCTAACACTTTCCTTGGGGACCCAAGCCACACCCCATGTCATCCAGCTCAGTCCACTTCACACAGTGCCACGGGACAGGGGAGCTCAGCCCCATGCAGACACAGGCTGCCATGTTGGTCCATTGGAGACCTTCCGGTTGGTTTGGACCACTGCCCTCTCAGCAGCTGGGTGCTTTACTGCGGAGCCACCTGACCCCTCACAAGACCACTGCCCCCGGCCTGGAGGTGGGGATTATAGTAGTTGGAATTCTGGTTTTGAAACAAACCTTTGCTCTAGATCCTTCTGCTAGTCCCCACCAGCCCCTCACCCCGCGCCCAGGTATAGAAGCAAGTGCACTGTCCTCAGAACGACTTTATTGGGAGGACACAAGGGGGTCTAGCGAAAGGGAGTCTGGCTGCCAGGCCCCGTGGGCTCTTACTTCTCCCCGGCGTCCTGTGCTGTCTTGGTGGTGTAGTCTCGGTACATGGTGTACACAGCGCCTGTAAGGGAGGAGGAGTGCCCCGACGGTCACCCTTCAGCCCGCTGTCTGTCTGCCCAGGTGCTATGCCCATGCAAAGTGCTAGCTGCTCTGCCTAGCCACCACTCATTTTGCTGCTCCAAGCGCCTGGCCCCTCAGTCCAGGCAGCCAGCCTCTGGGTCTACTCCCTGGAGCTGCCCTCTGAGCTCACCAAGCACCACCACAGCCCTGGGAGGTAGGCAGGCTAGGTGTGGTTATCAGTGTGTGGGACCTGGGAGAGCGGAGTGGGATTTGACCACAGCTATTAAGTAGCTGGGCCTTTTGCTCCAGCGGGGAAGCGAAATTCCACTAAGCCCTGCCGTGTGATGTGTCTCACCTCTCAGGCAAACAGGTAAGAAATGGCCCTCACCCCATCCCCAGGGACCGTGCCAGGGAGTCAGACTGAAAACCCTGGAAAGGTCTCCGTGTGAAGGCTGCACCAAGAACCGGGGGGTGGTGGATGGAAGTCGGGGTCTCCCAACTGTCAGGGTGCAGCCAGGCAAGGCCTGGTCTGCGAGCACCCAGTACCCAGGTACTCACCCAGCAGAATGGCCCCCACGGCACAGGCCTGTGCTGCTACTCGGGTGTGGATCAGATGGATGGACATCTTGGTGGGGCCACGTGCCTTCAGCCGGTAAATCCTGTAGGCTGCCACCACCAGGCAGCCTCCCAAGCCTGAGGGCAGAGACATGACCCCTGATGGCAGGCCTGGGCACCCAGGTGAGCTGATGCCATAGACCCACTGGCATGTTGTCGATGTTTCCTTCCAGCAGTGCCGCCTCCGCGGACAGACGGCCTGGCCTCACCACTCCCCGGGCCCCCGCTAGCCCTGCCCTGGCCCCTCTCCAACTGCCACGGACTCCCACACCCTTTGGGGTGCGGCTGTCTTCCTTCCCTCCCAGGACCTGGAGGAACAAAGCCCTGGAGGGGCTTCAAACTGCTGCTCCTTGGACTCTTCCCATCCCTCCGGCCCCCGTGCCAAGTTCCCCATGGCCTGCGCACTAGTCTACCCCACTCTCCTTTTGTTGTATGGGTGTGTCTTGGTGCCTTCCGTTGGTTAAGTCTCCAACCTCTGTGGCCTACTCCTTTGGAAAGGACTAGAAGAAGTGGTCTCACAGAGAGAAGACACCCCCACCCCCACCCTAGTCCTTCATGTCCCCACTCACCTATGGGGACCAGTGGAGACTCCCTGGTCTTCCTCATGAGTTTTTCAGACACGCTGTCTTCACCTTCAGTTGGCACCCACCAGCCTTTGTTGGCAGACATGATCCTGGCTCCTCCCCACCTCAGGTTAGCAAGGGGGCACCGAAGCTGCTCAATCCTGAAAGGAGGCACCCCGCAGAACCCCGATTACTCTCAGCCAGGGGTGGGGAGGGGGTTATCTGGTAAGACTGGCTCTGACCATACCCAACTCAGCCTCTACGTGGATAGATGTCCCAGGTGTCCTATCTCGGATGGCCTGGCCACTAGAACCATTTTCCCGTCTCCTCCTCCTAACATCTGCCGCCTAGCTAGTCCTGACTTCTGTTTTCTCTGCTTCCCCCACCCCGTCCCCATCCAATGGGTCTGATCCCTGAGCCAAGAAAAACGGCTGGAAAAATCTTCGGATGAGGATGAACTAACAGGCCTTGAACTTTGGGGCCTTCTCTAGCCTTGGGACTGCCCTGTGGCATTTGTTCCTAAGGGAGCTACAGAGCAGGATTTGGGGCCCTGGGTGGCCAGAGCCGCCTAACAAGTTGCCACAGCCCTGGCCTTCAAACAGCCAGAGGTTTAAATGACTGGGGGGTGTTTCAAGCGCAATTGATTGAGCTTGGATTTTGCACATTAACCCTTCAGCAACAAATTTACTTCTGGTCCTTGTTTTCGGTCCTTCACAGTGGTCAACCCCCTCCCTCTTGAGCTAGTGACCCCATCCTCTGCTAACCCCCATAAACCTGCCCCCCTTATATTAGTAACTAGGACACCTAAGTTTCAGCCCCATCATGAGAAGAGCTCCACAGCCAACCCTGGTTTCCCTCAGGCAGGGCGGGGTTTCTTGCTAAGACCCTCTACCACCGTGCCCAACACGGCCTCTGCTTGTGACTGGCTCTGATCACAAGTGAGACAGTCCTGGTCCTCAGACTGGAAGTCTCATGCCTTCTCCAAGTCTAACCATGAGACAGCCCCCTATTCCTTCAACTTGTAGTGCAAGCTGCCCTTCTCTCCTGGAGGGGCAAAGCCTGCTCCCCTCACAGGCCTTTGGCCTGCTGGTACTTACCCTCTGAGCTGCAGGCTGAGTGTGGGCTGCTCGGCCAGTGTGCAGCATCTGCTGTTTCGAGCTGACCAAGAGCTGAGGATGGAACTGCCACTATGGGGTCAGGGAAGCAGTGACATGGCCTTTTTGGAGACTTTGAAGTCGGGGATGGGGAGGGGAGGAGAGAGAACAGGGCATCCGGGTTCCCCCCCCCCCAATCTGCTGCATTCCAGACCAGAGCTCCAGGCCCTGGGAAGTGATGGAGACCAGAGGGAAGGGAGCACTGAGCTAAACCCAGTGTTCCAGTTTCCATGGACTGAAGCTGTTGGCTCAGAGAGACATGGGGAACCAAGATGGGAATGGGGATGCCAGATAGGCTGGATTCTCCCCCAAGGTATGCTGCCCCACTGTGCCAGACTCACTGTCGTTCATTCATTGCCACCGTGTAGTGAACTGCCCCTGTGGGTTTCTGAGACTAACTCTTTAAGGGAGTAGAAAGCCCGTCTCTCCAGTGGAGTGGCTGATGGGTTTGAACTGCTGCCCTTGTCGTTAGCAGGCCTACTCAACCATTACGCCACCGGGCCTCCTAGGCTCTAAGTGAGGTGGGAGGCAGGCTCTGTGGGCCTGTTCTCAATCCTTCACAGCTCTGCTGTATGAGGTAACAGAGTCAAAGACAAGGGGGCTGAGCTTCGGAATGGCCACCTTCATCTGAGGGTCTCAACTAGTGAGTAACTACGTCAGAATCTCAACCCAGGTCTGACGCTGCAAATGGTGAACTGCTAGCTGCATTACCAAAGTGCTTCCCCGCAATCTGGCTGAGTCAAAACCCTCTCCGATTGACACTGAAGCTTAGGCATGCGAATCATGCGGCATCCTCAGTTAGAAGACTAAGTGCCTGCTGCCTGCGTGCTAAATCTCAGAAGTCCTGCTGCAGTCCCGCCTTTGCTCCCAGCCCTGTGTGCGTATCCTGAAAGGGACCTTTCAGCTCTGGAAGTTTCTCTAGCAGCTGACGACCTTCTCTTTGCTTTCCCCAAACACTCCGTGCTCAAGGACAAGACTCAGAGTCACAGTTACTCCCTAGGGCCAGCACATGTCCCCAGCGTCCATGGGAACTGTCCTCCCAGCCATTCACACACCACCCTCTTGTGCTGCCTCTCGTGCCTTGGGGGGCCAAGCCAGAGGGGCGGGGGTGATGTGCAGAGGAAGCTGTCCCCATTCATAGTGGCCTCATTTGTCTGGGGGGAGGGGGGGGTGTAAAACCACCCCATAGGGTTTTCTAGGCTGGCAACCAAACTGAAGCCAGTTGCCCGATTTTTTTTTAGGGCCACGGGGTGGATTTGAATTGCCATCCTTTGGTTAGCACCAGCAGGGCTTCCAGACCAGAGGTCTGGGATGGCAATGTCTGGGTGAGATGGCAGGAATCGGGATCCACCCCCAGTCCCTGGAGGGACAGAGGAGGGCACTGAGCTGATGGCAGTGCTCCCATCTCGTCTCGGAGCGCAGAGCTTGAGGTCCCTCACTGCCAACGAGGCCATGCCGGCGCATCGCAACCCTATAGGACCAGGGAGGACTCCCCGTGTGGGTTTCCGAGACGAGAGGAGTAGAAAACCTCGCCCTCAGAACAGCTAGGGGATTCACCCAGCTTGCCTTGAGGTTAGCAGACCATGGAGGAGCCACTAGAACCCTAATTCTATTCTACAAAATAATACTGTTACTGTAATTCTCGTATTATACTTCCTGGGCTCCAGTTAAGTATCAGTACCCAAGTTCATATAAGCGACAGAAAAAGGACCAGCCTTCTAACCCCCCTGAGAATCAAATCTGACGGCTGTGGAATGCAGGTAGAAGAAAGCAAGAGTCTCGAGTTCAAAGATAGTGTTGCATTTTATTTCCAGAACTTCGGAGTGAGGAAAACATCAAGGCACAGCTTTCTGTAGAGTGCTGCTCTCATAGGCAGGATATAACTGATAGTGTCAGTGTGTGCTGGCGTGCTCAGTCTGATAACTGGTGATTTAAGCATTTCTACGGTAGTTTGCTCAGGAAACTACCCCCCACTGTCGGGTCACAGTAATAGAAATTCTCAATTAGAGAGGTCTAAGGAATGGATTGAGAAGTGACCAGAGACAGATGTGGAACCACTTAACCTCCTGAGCCCTCGAAATATTGGTCTTGTGCCACTCCACCTCTTTGAGACAACTTCTCATCCGGAGGAAGGTGGTCAGAATTCCCCTGCGCACTGCGCACCTCCCACCCCGCTTCCTGAATGAGCGTGGGCTAGGGAAAGGCGAAAGGTCTCAACAGCAAATGGGAAGATGACCCGGTTCTGGGTGGTCCCGTAGTCAATACTTAAACACCCTTCCCTCCTGCCTGCCCCTGCCCTGCCCAGGCCAACCAAGCATCAGGCACTTTCTCCCACTTTTGTTGGTTGGCAGGGGTGCGGTTTGAAGGTGGAACTAGGACCCAGAGACTCAGCACAAGCTGAGGCACAGCTGTGCTATATATGGCCCCAGGGCGCTGAGTGACCAGATAGGGGAGGACCATTTAGCTTTTGCTTTGAGCTAATGTCCCCAGAGACCTGCAAGTGGGGGGGCAATGAAAAATAAACCAAACTGGAAGCTCAAGTTGGGGTTGGACAGGAAGGACTCAAGTTGAAGGTGGGAGGACCTTCGAGGGGGTAGCACTAAGGAGCTTTAAGGGGCAAGGAACAGAAGAAGGGGAGGCAGTGGAAGTTCCACACGACTACGCCAAGCCTATAAATGGCATCTGGGACAGGATGATTCCCCCTCCCCTTAACAAAAAGGACACTGGCTTCCAAGGACAGCCCCAAGAGCCACAGGCCAGGGAAGTGCCTGTTACCCATTACTCTCACGAGAAGGCAGGCAGGTGGCTTAAGAGCTTGGCTACTAACCAAAAGGTAGTGGTGCATACCTGCCCGGTGTTTCATATCCGTATGAATTACAATTCTACACTGGCTTATGCCTTCTCAATGGCACCCGCCAACGAGAAGACGGCTCAGGCACTTGCAAAGGAGCATGGGTAACAGTGGTTACCTGCTGGGCTGTGATCTGCAAAGGTCAGCTGTTGAAAACCACCAGACCCTCTCAGGACAAAGGTTTTCTACTCCCATTAACAGTCTCAGAAACGAACAGGGGCAGGTCTACCTTGCCCTATGGCGTCACCATGAGTTGGCATCAACTCGATGACAGTTTGTTTCTGGAAAAGGGCGTGGATACCATTGAGGGGAGGCAGGATGAGACCGTCAGTCGCGGTGACTGACGCCAGTGCTGTAGGACTGTGTCTTGTCTTGTGGAAGGTCAATTCTGAGCTGAACAGAAGACATTCAAAGGGACCCTCTCACACAGACAAGCATGCGGGTGCTCCGGAAGCTTTAAGTGGTTTGTAAACATTGCTGATTTTGAATCCACTCCTTTGGCCCAACATCTTGTCAACACGCTCCAGGGACGGGCATCTTGGGAGCCTACCAGACTTGGGCATTTCACAGACGTTACTTCTCACCAGAGCCTCAACAGGTGGCTCTCATGACCCCTGTTTTACAGACGAGAAAACCGAGATTCAGAGCGTCAGACAGCAAGCAAACGGCTGCACTGTCCAGCCAGTCCTAATACCCAGTATGCACCCCGCGACCAGGGAAACGAACCTAGGACCGATTACGAGGTGATAGCGTGTACATCACCTCATTTTCTTCTCATAGAAACCAGACAGCGTGGACTTTTGAGTTCGGGAGCTCCAGACTCACAGGGTCCCCCAGCCCCACTGCCTCTCACCAGGCAGGTTTGAGGCCCTGCCCTGCACCCTGGTCTTGTCCAAAGTCCCTGCCTGGTAGGTGGTGTGAGAGCAGGTCTCCTCACCCCTTCTCACTGCGTATGTGTTCATTCACACCTCCAGTAACCTGCCCCATAGGGGGGATTAGAGTCGGATCGATTTGATGGCAATGTGTCTCTAAGCTCATCACCTTAAAAGGAGCCTTGGTGGGGCTGCCGGGAAAGTGTTGCACTGCTAACCAAGAGGTCAGCGGTTCCAACCCACCAGTCGCTCTCTGAGAGAAAGAGGAGGTTAACTGCTCCCATAAAGATTTCAGGCCTCCGAAAACCTATATAAGGTGACCAGATTTTAACATTGGTAAAGTGGGACACCATTGATAAAACTCATATCCTAGAGAAATAGCCACATGGCAGCCGAAAACCGTTATACCCTAGCTTGTCGTGCATTCTTTCCAAAAATGCGGGATTTTAAAAAATAATTTTATTGGGGCTTTGGGATTTTTTTAAAATGCCGTGGGACGCAGGAAAAATTGTTAAAAATCGGGACTGTCCCCCCAAAAGCGGGACATCTGGTCGTCTTAATATAATAGGGGCTCCCTGAGTCGGAATCCACTCGATGGCAGTGGGTTATGTGATGGGTTATCACTCCCTAAGGGGAGGGGGCACTCACTGCGACCCTATAGGAGAGAGTAGAACTGCCCCTGTGAGTTTCTAACTGTGTAGGGGAGTAAGAAGCCCTGTGTAAGGGAGTAAGAAGTCTCCCAGGAACAGCTGATGGTTTTGAACTGCTGAGCTTGCAGATTGCGGCCCAACCCATAACCAGAACCACGAGGCCACCAAGGACCCTCAAGAAAGTGAACCCTACTTTAAAATCCAACATTAATGCATAAAAGCACAGCTGCGGTGCAGTTGGTTCTGACTCCTGGTGACCCCATGTGGGTCACAGCGGAAATGTGCTGCATCGTTTTTTTTTTGCTTTTTCCTGGCACCACCTCACCCCCCTCCCGCATAGGGTTTTCAACGGCTGTTTTTTCAGGTGTAGCTTAGCAGGCTTTCTTCAGTAAGCAGCGTGCGTGCATGCGTGCCTCCACTTTTGGTATCACCCAGGGCTGCCTGGGAGAGCCTTGAATTGTGGGCATGGGAGAGTGGGGTAGGAGGTATGTGAATTACTGTACCTTCCATACTTCTGGTGTTACGTATTCAAAAACAACTTTAACAACAACCCACCATCATCATGCTTGTGAGTAAAGATAGGGAAGAGCCCCAGGTTAACTGAAACTGCTAGGGATTAACTAGGGGGCAGGTGGCGTGTTAGCAGGAGTCCTCAGGACTCTCTAACCAATCTTCCTTGTTATCCGTTGCTCAGGGAGCAGGCGGGCAGGACAGACGGCCCGAGGCAGCCCTCTGGAATCTCCCCTCCTTGCGCCAGGGCGGGCTGGCGGAGGAGGAATCCATTCCAGCTAAGCGGGGACCCTGGAGAACTGTCATGGAAAGAGTGACACACACAGCCTTGAAGTTGACCCCACAGTTCCCATAACACAGAGCCGCAGGGTGACTCTCGAGTTCGTCAAATGGGGTCTTGACCCTTTCCTGCCCCAGTCCCAAGTGAATAGAAAGTGATGTGGTTCTCACAGCACCCTGCCCCTCCACGCCGGCAGAGGCTGGAAGCCAGGTCCAAGTGCCTGTTAGGAACTTGGGGGCTTTCCCCCCTCCTCTAGCCTTCTCGTGCCTCTAGTCACTTCCTCATTCAGCAAACACTTCCTAAGTACCAACTGTGTGCGGGGTCTGTTCTGGCAGCTGTGGGGCAGTGGCTTTGCCTTCTGTTGTCATGAACACCCTGATTTGCTCCAGACTCTGGACCACAGAGCATCTGGCCTAGATTTATGGCCTCAGTTTCCCCACCAGTGACGGGATTAAAGGAGGTCCCTTGGTGGCTAAGTGAGAGAAGAAATAAGTCCTGCCTAGATGATAAAATATTTGGATGATGTTCTTGGGGTTAAGCAAGACAGCTGTACCAGGTCTTTCCCCACCCCCTAATCTTGAAAAGGCTGCTCTACCTTTGGACGATTTTGTCAGGAAGGAGAGAGGAGAGAGAAGGGGAGCGGGAGGAGA